GCCCTTTGGTTTCAGAAGGGCGCATTCGCCTCAGCCCCCACCAGCCCCACTCCACGCCGACGACACTTTTTTTTTCTTTTTTAAGCATCCGTCCCAATGCCAAAGTGCAAATCGTCGCAATTCTCGTGCACGTAAACTACCGTCGCAACCCACCCCGCCCCTTCCAGGTCCGGCACAGCCGAGCCTGGACATTCGGAGCCACAGATTCAACAGGGAGAGGCCTCGGGGACCGCGTCCTAGAAGCGCTGAGGGAGCCATTCCCCCACCCTCCACTTTGGAAATGAGCAGGCTTTAGAACAGGAACGAAATAAAATAAGTCCGTAGGACTTGAAAGGGCACACTTAAAAAAATAATAAAAATAAAAAGTTATCTTAAGAATACAGCTCTTAGACCAGGATCCGCCGATTCGACACGGCACTGGTAGCGGGAAGCTGTTCCCGCCAAGACGCGAAAGGTAAAGGGGCAGGGATATCCTCAAGGAAGAAGGCTTTTGTCAGTGGGGAGGAACTGGCCAGGGGCTCTGACCTAGACGCCCCTCCAGGGTTTTGTTTTTGGCAGCCTGGGAGTGCTGAAAGTGCGGGCGCGAATCGTTGTCAGCCGGGGAGGGGTGCGGAGGGAGGGGAGGGAGGGGAGCGAGCGCAGCTGGCGCTGCTCCCCCGGGACGCGGTGGCGGGTGGGCGGCCGCGAGGGTCCTCGAGGGCGGGCCTCTGAGTCTTCAGGAGGGACGGGTTCTGACGGCTTTTCTGGAGCGGGCTGTGCTTCACCTGGAGAGGGTGAAGGCCCCACTCACTGACCTTGGGCCTCCAGAGTCCAAAGAGAAAGTAGAGCTGGTGGGAGGCATCTGGCAAGTGACCTTGGGTTTGAGGCTGGTAGAGAGGGCAGGACACCTTAAGGACCGACCCCCTCTGGGGTCTGGAGAACGGAGTGTGGCCTCAGTACAAGCGTGACTTCACATTTTTGAACTTTGTTCACTGTGCAGGGTTTGTTCATTGCTGATGGAGAAAGACAGTGCACTGACCCAGTCAACTGAAGTTTCTTGAACATCCACGAGTCACGGATGAGGGCAATTATGATTTTTTGTTTTGTTTTGTTTCTTTTGTGTGTGTGTGTGAATCACATATCTCTTTGATTATGGTGTGACTAGTTTTACTAGTAAACTGAGGAAGCCATTTAGTGTTTGGAACACCTGCCAAGCCAGTTGCCCAGGAACTGTGGTTGGATTTGTGCATTATTTGGACAATTGTCCACTTGAAAGAGGATTGACAGTAGCTTCATAACAATTTTACAAAGCTCATTCTAAGATTAACCTGTTGAACATGTACTTCCCATTAATGCTTAATTTTCAAGCTATTATTTATATTTATGAATCAAGTCCTGGAAAAGGCTAAGATGCCTGAATGAAATAGCGGCCATGATGAAAAACTTCACAGTTGTTATCCCTGTGATAGGTTCTCTTAATTTTGTCATATAAATGGAACAGCAAGTGTTCTCAGGTATAAGGTTTATAGCTTGACAATATGTATTCATTACCAGAGCTTCAGATTCACATTGAGTTAGTGAGTTTTTTCTTACTTTTGTTTTTTTCCTGGCAATATAATTCCATTTAAAAATTTTGTCACAAGAAATGGACTGCTTCTTTAACGATAAAATCATTTTGCCATGTCAGAAGACACTTTTTCGGAAGAAGATATCTGGGAATACAGATCCAAAAGAAAACCAAAACCAGTACATCCAAATAATTGCTCTGAAAATATTCCAACATCTTTTGAAAAAGCAACAGATAGAAAATACCAGTCAAAACGAAACAGAAACAAAACAAGAACCGTAGAAGCTAAAGGAAAGGTGAAGAACCATGAAATGTGCCTTGGAGAAACAGATTGTAAGACTTTTGTAGCTTCTAGTCAGACTTCAAGTTGTGGAGATGGTATTCAGCAGTCCCAGGACAAGGAGACCACTCCAGGAAAGCACAGTAGAACTCACAAAACCAAACATGTGTCCCCAAAGATACGTCCAGTTTATGATGGATACTGTCCAAACTGCCAGATGCCTTTTTCCTCATTGCTAGGTCAAACACCTCGATGGCATGTTTTTGAATGTTTGGATTCGCCGCCAGTCTCTGAAACAGGTGAGATTACAGAAAAGGTAGTGGTCTCTGAATAGTCTAAAAGGCCTGCATTATTAGGTCAGACATATCAATTCTGTAAAACGAGCAAGGCAAGCAATAAACTAAGACAGATGAGACACCCTACCAGTCAATGGTATAATTGTAAAGAAAGTTGCAAACCTGAAAACAATTTAAATGCATTTTATTTCATAAAAGTTTCTAAACATCTCAATTATTTTTTGTAAATGTTAATTAAACCCTTATTGTGCTAGGTGCTTTCATTGTGTTTAACACTTGACTCACGACCATATAAGGTAGGTGGTAATGACATTTTATAAGTAGGGCTCTTCAAAGTTACATAATGTGCCCAATTTGTTATCCTATATGGAACTATATAGAAAAGTATAAAAACAGTCTCGTTTCTAAATATGGTTATGTGGTATTCATTATGCTAATATACAGGAAGAGGAACTGGGAAGGAGTCTTAGGTGATTAAGATTGTAAGAATAAAAATGTGCCAAATGATAAAAGTAATGCTATGTTTTAATCTTGTAAAATATATGTGTCATATTTAACATGTAGAAAATCCTACTTGGAATGTATGGAGAATGGGTTGTTGAGATAATTTGTATATTTTAAAGTTATTGTATGAGTATATACCATACATATATTTTTAAATATGAAAATTAAAATTCAGTAAAATAAAAAATAATGCACAATCTGGCCTTCGTATTAACTGTGATTCAGAATACATTTTAGTATTAACCTGCAGTTATTTTGAATTACTGCATGAATATGCCAGATAACTTTTTTGAAAAAATTTGGTATGTTTCTCATAAAATTATAGCAAGCGAAACCCTCATTAAATGCTAGTAACTTGCTTTTATGCAACTTAAAAATCAGAAATGGAAGTTGAAGCCCATGGTGAACATCTCAGGATGAAATGTCTTATAGATGAAGCTACTTCCAAAAGATTTTCTTTTGTTTTTTCACTAAACTCCTTTGAATTGAATCTCACATGGACTCTTGTTGAATTGAATTCCATTCTGTAACAAATACTTCCATGAGGTGGTTTTAAGTTAGGTTTTAATGTAACAGGTTCTAATTTAATGTAACAGGTTTTGAGTGGAGAGGAGTGTCATTTACTGATAAACTTACAAATTGACATACACAAGGATATGCCAAGATGGTTTACAGAAAGAGTCTAAATCAATCGTATGATGGGGACTAGCTTCCAGATTATTAAAACCTTATTAACCAGTTTATCAAATTGAATTTCAAGTCTTAGAATATAATCTAAAATTTGTTCAGCGTATGAACAGCTATAACTAATCTTATTAAGACTGTTACTGTTGTTATTGTTTACAATGTGGATGTTAAATAATGGAATCTAATTCAGTGTTAAAATTATCGTAAATGTTTGTTGCTTGATGAGATAAAAATTGATAGAACTTTAGTTCTTTGAGAGATATACATGTCTTTACTCTGTATTGCCTGAGCAATAGTGAACTAGTAAAACTGGTGGTGTCAGTTTGTAGCACCTGTTTAAGAAATACCCTGTGTAAGTATAGCATGTTTTCAAGAACCTCATGTTTATGGGAGTTACTTAAGAAAAAAGATGTTAGTCTTGAAATTTTTTTTTGAGAAAAGATTATTTGAAAAAAACATTTGCAAGTGTATTTAATTTTAAAATAATAAATAGAACCTTGCAAAACCATGCTGGATCTTTTGATTGTGCAGTTAGAAACCACTATCATCCTAAGATCTCAGTGTAGGACTGATGATTTTTCCACGTACAGGTTAATTTATAATGCTAAAGCTGTCAATGTTAAGTCTGTGCTTTAATCTTGTAATACTTTTTTCTTTATTAAAATTTTCAGAGTGTCCTGATGGTCTTCTTTGTACTTCAACAATTCCTTCTCATTACAAGAGATACACTCACCTCCTGCTAGCTCAAAATAGGGCTAGTAATAATCCTGTTAGTGGCCCATCACATAAGTCAGGTGATAGTTTCAGTGAGACTAATTCAGGCTTTGTTTGTAGCCTTGAGGAAAGATGGTTGCCACAGCAGAAACAAACTGAGAACTTAAAAAATGTTCCAAATGATCCCTTGTTGATGACACAGTGTCTAAGGAAATCTCAGTCTCCAGCTGAAACCAATAAGATTTCCTGTTCTACAAATATCCAGACGTCCCATCGAGCTCTACAGTTTACAGAATTGGTTAAGAATGACAAACTAGTAGGAGTTGGTTTGCCTCTTGCAGATGAAGAATTAGACAGCCGAAACAACTCAGAACACACAAATTTGCCATTGCCAGAAAATGATTTAAGCAACTGTGAAATCTCCTATTCTCCACTTCAAAGTGATGAAGAAACTTATGATGAAAATTTGGGTGATTCACAACAGGAACTATTTTTTATCAAAAGCTCTAAAGATGGCAGCCTACAAGAAGATGACAACAGCTCTACTTTGTTTAAAAAACTCCATGGTCCCTTACTGGAGGACCAGGAGGAGAGCTGCCCTGAAGTGAATAGCTTCTTAACTCAGAATAAGTACAATGAAGAATTGGATAGCTATAGTACTTTAAATGATTTGTCTCAACCTATCTCCTCAAATAATGACAGTATTATTTTGTATGATGATCCAACATATACTGATGATTATTTTATGTTGTTTTCACGTGCATTAGCAGAGGAGCTTCCTGCTTCAAATTATCAAGCCACTAAAGCAAAACCCGATGGGCCAGAATTTCACTCATCTCAATCAAATAAACAGAAACAGGTACTTGAAGAATCAGCTGTTTACAATCAAGTTTCTCTTCCGTTACTTAAAAGTGAAATGTCAAAACCTTTTGAAAGCCAGGGAGGAAGGTATCTTTCTTTCCATTCAACCCAAAGTAAAATTAGAGAATTATCAAGTGAGAACTTCAGTGCTAAGAACGGTACTAACTCAGCTTGTTTCTGCAGAAAGGCATTGAATAGAACACTAGATGGTAAAGTTACAGGTTTAAATACACAAAAATTTTCTGGTATAACTACTGCTGCTAAGTCTTTGGAAATATTGCCCTCTGGTCCTAAGGGGGATGCAAGACATCCTTCTACCAAGGTAATGAAGCAAATGGATATAGGTATGTATTTTGGACTACCACCCAAAAGAAAAGAAGAGAAATTGCCGGGTGAAAGTGCATTAGAAGGGATGGACTTAAGTCCAGCTGTAAGTCCTAATGAAAAGAGGTCCCGGCAATGCAAGCGGAAAGCAGAAAAATCTTTAAATGAGTTAGAATTTGAGGCAAAGAATTTAAGTGAGAGTTGGCTCTTTGTGGAACTTTCTGGTGAGAGGACACAGCATCAAAGAAAGAGACGGAAAAAGTCAAATTCACTACAAGAAGGAGCACACCGGAGTAGGTCAGATCGCATTATTCACAGTACCACACCTGAAACAGTCAATTTAAGTAAAGACAAAGTCTTCATAAAATCAGCTCATGACAGACGGCGGAGATGGAATACAAAAATCTCAGAGTCATCTAATGCAGGAGAATTAAGAAAAAAGACATGTCCATTCTATAAGAAAATACCTGGTAAGCTGAAATATCAATGCTTAATATGTCAAAAAAGACAACTTTTTGAACTTCATATTGATAGTCCATGGTGTATGTGCATGAAACAACTTTTTGTATATATTTCTTTTGCTTTTATGATATTTCATAAGCCTCTAACAGATTTTTTGGGCCTATTTTATTTTTTTGCTCCATTCAATTCAGCAATCTTTTACAAAACTTATTGTATGTACAAGTTCAGTACCATTCTAGTTAGGTAGATATTACAGTTATGGAAAGATTAGTAAGAGAGCAGTAGGGATTCAACTTAGTCTCTGCCTTTTTATATTCTTGTAATTTCTCATGCCTTCACAGATGATTAGTGGAAAAATGTGTAGTGAAATGAATTTTACTATTGAAGAAGCTAATAACTTCTGCAAAGAATATAAAATAAAGCAACCAAAATATACTTGGTTTCAGAAAGATTTTTAAAACTGTTTTATTGATGTTCTAGATCTATAATTTGTTCAAAATATTTATGTAAAGAATAGTATTTATGTACATCATAGCACCAGTTTTGTTTTTCATAATTATTTTGATTTTATGTACTCTAAGAGATCCTAAAACTAGTGTGCACATGTTAATAAGCCTCAACAGAATTGTGAATTTATGCTTATTTACTTACATTTTGCCAGTCAGCACACTTGGTTTTATCTTTGAACCCATTTAGAACTCTCTCTCTTAACATTTTTTTCATTATTTCTCCTGTAGAGAGCTTTTTAAGGCATTTTTTTCTTGTTTCCCTTCCACCACTCCCCATTTCCACCCTGCAATGAAATTCAAAGACCAGCACTTGGTTTTATCTTTGAACCCATTTAGAACTCTCTCTCTTAACATTTTTTTCATTATTTCTCCTGTAGAGAGCTTTTTAAGGCATTTTTTTTCTTGTTTCCCTTCCACCACTCCCCATTTCCACCCTGCAATGAAATTCAAAGACCATGGATATACTGTTTCTTTTTTATTGTACTGTGGTCCTTTGAAGAGCCACAGGCTTTTGTAATATGTAAGATTATTTTGGCCCTCAACCATTTTTGTCCACTTAGAAGAATCTCAATATTGTCCTCACTGAGAATTCAGTTTTCAGAAGAAAGTATTTTCCTTTTGCTGTTTTGCAGAAGTAGATTTTAGGTGCCCAGTAAGTATCATGAAAGTATGAGGAGTCTTCAAAAATTTCATGGAAAGATTTGTATTATCTTTTCATTCTATTTTTCCACAAACATTTTGAAGTAATCTCATATTAGGTAAAGGAAGAATTGGTTTATAGCTTAGTATTGTGATTTTTCTTTTTGAGGGGTGCAATTCACAAAAAAAAATTTCTACAAAAAAAATATCTATTGGGATATTCAGTAGAAGCTCACAAGACTAATTCTCATGTCTAGTATCACCTGCTAAATTTATGTGCTGTAAGTTTTTGATACATTATAATTAAATTGGAAATGAGATGTAAAGAGAAAGAGGGTTCAATATATATAATCAAATCAGGGATCTTATAGGTCTTACTCAACCTGTCGTGTTATTTTTATTGCAGGGACTGGCTTCACTGTTGATGCCTTTCAGTATGGTGTCATTGAAGGTTGCACAGCCTATTTTCTCACGCATTTTCATTCTGATCATTATGCTGGGTTGTCTAAAAACTTCACCTTTCCAGTTTATTGTAGTGAGGTAAGTTTTAGTATTCTAAATTCTGACTTTGTAGAATGCTGTGAATTTCTAAGCAATTTGGTTAAAAAAGGATAATTAAAACTATCATTCTATTAGAAAAGTTATGATAAAACAGATTCCACACTGAGGTTCTAAAATTAAATGAGTTAATGTCAACAGTTACAATCAACTTTTAAAAACATGTTTTTTAATTTAAAACAAAAATAACAACAACAACAAAACATGTTTTATTGTATGGAAACAATAGATAAACTATTTCATAATGTACTAAAAAACCAAAATTTCATTCAGTAAACATTCATTGAGTGCCTAAATAGATATACAAGGCAAAATACCTAACTTCAAGGAGCTTACAGCTTCTAGGGGAAACATTCAGAAATACTACCACAGTGGGATTAGTTATTTATAATAGAAAAATGAACAGAGTGCCTAGGAGTAGGGAGAAGGGAGCGCTTTATGGTGTCCGAGGCTAAGGTCAGAGGAAGTTTCATGGTGAAAGGTACCTTGAACTAGTTATTAAAAGGTGGACATTGTAATGCCTATTACTAAGGGCTTTAGCTAGAATTTGATTTAATCCTCACAGCATTCTTGAAGTATCCTCTTTTTGTTAATGAAGCAACGGAGGTTTGGAGAGATTAAGTGACTTGCCCCAGGTCACAGAGTGAGTAATGGCAGAGCCCAAATTTGAATACAGGTCTGTCTGATTCCAGAACCAGGTAGAGGGAAGAGGAGACAGCATTCCAGGTGGATAGTAGAGTCCGTGTAGAGGCATGGGCACCTGAGAAATATACCCATTCCAGGTACTTCAGATAATTCAGAATCGGTAGAACGTGAGATAGGGAATAACAGGAGACAAACCCTCAGTGATGGGCAGGGACCAGATCACAAGTGTTTTGTATGTCATACGGGGGTTGATGGACTTTTCACAGGTGAGGGAGAACCAGTGACAGTGTTCAAGCAGAGTAAGTGGCATAGTCATTTTAGAAAGTTCTTATTGACATTGAAAAGTGTTTACTTGAATATAGGTGTGAAAACAGGGAGATTATTAAGCTGCCATGGTTCTAAACTTTAGTGTTTTACTGTATCAGCAATAAGCAATCCTATTTTGCAGATAACTGGCAATTTGTTGAAGAACAAGCTTCATGTGCAAGGAAAATATGTCCATCCACTGCCCATAGACACTGAGTGCATAGTGAATGGTGTCAAAGTTGTTTTGCTTGATGCCAATCAGTAAGTATTACAGTCACCTTAATAATAGCCCACTTTTTAAATATTCAAAAGGAAAACACATCAGCATGGTTATTTAAGAACTTTTTTATTAGAACTAATATGCTTGATATTTCTTAAAACTTTAGTCAAATGTGTTTCTCCTTTTGAAAAAAATAATGTATCCAATTATAGAATCAGAGATTAAATGTAGAGGACCAGTAAATGTTCCCTAATCCATATTTTATCCAGTTTAAATATCTACACTTGATATGTGAAACTCTATCTTATTTTTTTAATACTTCTTGTTGCTGCTGTTCTTTACAAGATAATCTTTTGCCATTCTATTTAATATTATTTATATAAACTAAAATAAAAGCTTGTACTCCTTTCAGATACTGCTTCTCAGACATACGAAACACTCTAATCAGGCAGAATATTCCAAGGGCTCAAAAGCTCATTTCCCAGGAGCCAACCCAGGGCCAGTCCTGAAGACAAGCCTTTCTTTGGAATGTGCAGAGTTTGAGCAACCCAGGCCTGTTGCATAATTCCCTTCCTGAACACCAATTCTTTTTATAATGTAAATTTCCTTGAGTTAAACCGCTGTATTTCATTTGTAGTACAATGCTGTGTAATTGTGGTCAGCTAATAAAACGTATTAACTTGTTGATATTGAAATAGGTATTCTTCCTTCAGATACTTTCTCTGCGTTAAGAATATCATCTTTGAAATTTTGTGTTCAGCTGTGCTGTATTTCATTTGTAGTACAATGCTGTGTCATTGTGGTCAGCTAATAAAACGTATTAACTTGTTGATATTGAAATAGGTACTCTTCCTTCAGATACTTTCTCTGCGTTAAGAATATCATCTTTGAAATTTTGTGTTCAGCTGTCCAGGTGCTGTCATGATTCTTTTTTATCTTCCTAATGGTACTGTCGTATTACATACCGGAGACTTCAGAGCAGATCCCAGCATGGAACGTTCTCTTCTTGCAGCCCAGAAAGTCCACACGCTGTACTTAGATACAACGTAAGAGAGACTTTGTGTGCTTCCTTTTCCCACTGATGGCATTTGCTCTGTATAGTATAAATAATTTGAGTATTTACTTAGGGAATCAAAATGATGGCTTATTGCCAATTATTATTTTAAGGCTATTTATCAGAGGGATGGTATTCAAAAAAACTTGCTTAAGGGCAAATTTGGGATTACATGTCTTAAGTGACTACAGTTCAATTGTTTTGCAATTTCTTTTTGAAAATATGTTTATATGAGAATCCTGTTACTGAAACAAGGAAGAAAAATTGGGAGGCATACTTTAGGAAAGCACCCTTTTAGGTTACCCTTTCAAAGTATCTGTATAGCTATTCAGTATAATTGTGAAGAGAAAACAGGCCAAAATGTGATTCTGCTTCTGGGTATTCAAAATTACATTCATTCTTTTCTCAAAAGGTAATTTATAAATGATAGCTTTGAACTCCTAAGTTTTATATATATACATATGTATTCCCAGTTTTAAAGGCATAATTGACAGATATATATTTATAGTGTACAACACTATATATTTATATATATATATTTATAGTGTACAACATTACATTATGTATTAAAATATCTCATCAATTTGTTAGAAATTAATTATGTTAACTGTTTCAACCTCTTTCAAGGAGGA